ACAACAGATTTTTGTACGCTAGTGTTCACAGCAGCATTATTCACAAAAGCCAACAGGTGCAAACAACCCAAGTGTTCATCAGCCCATGGATAGATAAACACAATGTGGTATAGCTATACAAAGAAGTGTTAGCCACCAAGAAAAAGACAAGAAGTATGGATACATGCTACAACATGGATGATCCTTGAAAAGATTACACTAAGTGAAAAAAGCCAGACGCAACGACTCCACTTACATGAAACACCCAGCCAGAATAGGCAAATCCATAGAGACAGAAAGCAGGTTACTGGTTTCCAGGGGCTAGAAGTTGGAGGTTTGGTGAGTAACTACTTAATGGGCATGGGGTTCCTTTTGGGGTGATGAAAAGTTCTGAAACTAGATAGTAGTGATGAGTGCCAACACTGTTGTGCCACTGGACTGGACTCTTTAAATGAGTTAAAATGGTAAATTTTATGTTATGTTAATTCATGCTACCACAATTAAAAAAAAACAAAAACAAAAACAGACCTTGTGTCAATGAGTTAGAGGCCTTGCAAGTCCCAATAGCATTTTTCCTTCTTCCTCTTCATCCACCAAACCCCAGGGAGTTAAGCTGATGGTTTTCTTACCTTTGCTCCCCTTAAAGAGCCAGCCAACTGCAGGTGCCCCTGCCCAAAGACCGTGGCCAGCTATAGTCAAATGGGGCAGGGGTGGGGAACCCTAGCATCTGGAGGGCGAACACTGAGGCCAGAGGTTGGATCATCAGAGCCAGACCTTAAAACATCAGCCCCCAGATCTTTCTTTGGGGTGCTGGAGCGCCCTCTGGTGAGCAATCGGAGAGCAACCCAATTCTAATGTCAGCTCTGAGACTTTCGCGCTCGTAGCCTAGTGCACTTGATAGTTGTGCTCAGGGTAGTGCTCCGCCATCTCGGAATTTCTCTTTCCGCACTAGAGCCCCCGGGGAATTTACCTGCGCGCCTGTCGTAGATGAAAATGCATAAACTATATAAACACAGGCACAGAACACTTCTTCCCTTCCTGATTGACTGATATCATCCACTCAAGAAATTATTCACGAGCAAGGTCGGGCCTGTCTCAATGAATTACCCCCAAAAAGCTTGTGGTTAACAGGGCGGGCCGGGAAGACAGCAGCTTCAAGTAGAGAGGACAGAGACTGGTAAAGATTAGCTTCACCTGGAGCTAAGCGCAGAGAGCTGGCGGACGACACAGGGCAAGGGATCCAAAGTCAACCAAGAAGGTCAAGGCCAGCAAAGGAGACGTGGCCTTTGGCTGAGCTCAGTGTGAAGGAAGAGGGGGGAGTCCTCCGAATAGAAAAGACAATGCATGCAATCGGCAGGCTCCTTCATGTCTGGTCCCTGTGCTTCCCCTCTCTTCCTCCCTCCCTGTCATGGGGAGCCTCTAACTCAACATTCCTTACCATGGGCTCTTACCAGGAGAGCATGGTGGCGGGTCCTACCCCCGACTAACCACCAATCTTGTATGGTTCTTCCTACTCATCTCAAGCCCGCTGCCTAGCTATGTAATGCTTGGATTCTGAATCCCGCGTTCCACTTTCCATCCTGGATTGACTCTTACCTCCCAAAGGACGTTTAAGCAAAACTCCCTTCCCGCCACTCCCAGGGGCCCGTTGGCAACCACCCTCTCCTCACAGTCCCACAGCAGCTCTACTTATGCGCATTTACAACATGGGCCTCTAAGATGTCACTGAGGAAAAAATAGGTTATGCTTCTTTTAAGAAATGTTTGCAACACGCAGGCTTAACTGTTCTGAGCGTCCTTCGGACTCTGGCCTGCAGGCGACAATTTTTGGCCCCAGCCCAGCTTCGGGTGGTCAGGGGCCCCTACAGGCCTTCCGGGTCTCTAAGATCGTGTCCACTCCCACCGCTACCGCCACCCCGCCGGTCCACAGATATTTCTGCCGAGAGTTCAGAACAGGCTGCCCCAGGACTGCTAGGGATAAGGGCAGGGAGGGCTTGCCGGCGCCAAGGGGACCCGGGCAGCCTCACGGTCGTTTTCTTCCCGCGCTGCAGTGAGCAGACCGGCCGCCAGGGGCAGCAGGGGGCCCAAGCTGGCGCCCAGTGCCTCCTAATGGCTTCTCGCGCCCATAGCGCCGGCCTCGGGGCCCTGGACGCGCAGGCCCGGCCTTCCCACTCCTTCTCACCCCGAGGCCAAAACGGGGTCCCAGGGCGAGAAGGCGCGCGCCCAAGGCGGGCGGGGAGGGAGAAGGCTCCCGGAAGGCCACCGCCTGGCTGCCCGCGCCACACACCTGCGGCTCAGGGCGGGTGGGACCCAGAGCCTCGGGTCCCCACCTGGAGCACGTGGGCTCTGGCCGCCCGGGCCACGCATGGCTGGCAGACGCGGAGCCAGTGGCAGGACGATCCCTTACCGTGGCGGGCGGAGGAAACCAGCAGAGAGAGGCGCTTGCGGCTGAGCCGCCAGGAGGGCTTCCTGGAGGCTGGGCTTGGGCTGAGTGTGGGTGGGATTTCAGTGGCCCGGAGGAGGTGGGGGCTTCTCTTCAGGAGCCCTGGAGCCACCTGGGGACCAGCGTGGCGAGCGCTGGGAGGGGAGCTCGGGCCACAGGCAGCCTGGGAGTAGGCGGAGGACGCAGGGCCCTGCGGAGTGGGCTCAGACCCGGGCAGGCGCCCCGGGATCCCTGCGAGGTGTTGGATTTGCTGGGATCACGTGGTCTGCAGGGCGAATGGGGCCTGAGAGTCGGCGGAAGGGGCTGCAGGGAGCTCACCCAGGAGAAAACCGAGGTTCACTCATCCCAGGTTCCTCAGCACTTGGTAAACCCTGGCCTGTGGAGGGGTCTGCAAACGTTCAGTTGAATTGAATGGACTGTGTCAGGGAAGCAGTGTCCTCAGTTCCTTGTCAGGAGAAAGGAGAGCAGACAGAACGGGATTGTGATCTGGGGAGAATGGGGACTTCAAAGAGGACATAAAAGTGTCCTGAAGCCTCTTCTCAACTCCCGCCCCACCACAGGAGAGGGCTGCCAGCCCAGAGGGAGCTGGGCTGAGCCTCGTGTTCCCCCAGATAACACCTGAAGCCCTGACTCCACCCACCACAGACCTCCCAGACCTGCCCTGTTTAGGCCTCTCTCACCAGGCTCCCCTGACCTGCTGAGTGCCCTGCAGCAGCCGTGTTTTCCTCTGAGCCTCAGTTTCCCCTCCTGACCCAGACAGGGCAGGACCAGATGTTCTCTGAGGGCCCTTCCAGTGTGACAGGCTGGGCTGGGAGGGTGCCCTGTGCTGCTGACGTGGACTGAGAGAGAAACCTTATTTCTGGCCTTTCCAGGCTCATGTCTCCCATTCATAAGAGTAGTGCTTTTGTGAGGGGACAGGGGTCTCCAGTGCAATGGCTCCTCTTTGTCGTCATAAGGCCTCCACTGGACCCAGGCAGCTCTTGGCTGGAATAGTGAACACCGAGGCCACAGGGTGTCAGGACTCCTGGGCAATGAGGCCACGTGACTTTGACACTTTGAAGGTGTCTAACTGCCTTCTTCACCCTTACATCCTTGGGATCTGAACAGAAGGACCTGCCCTGGACAGTAACAAAGCTACAAAGAGGGAAAAAATCCCTCAGGGGCTGTCTAAGTAAGAAGAACCTTAAGCTCTGGGACCAGCCACAACCCTGCACTGAGCAGGAGCCTGAGACTCAGAGGCCAAGTTCACAGAGGACACTGGTGGCAGACCTGGGACATCATGTTCTGTCCTCAGTGATTCTCAGCCCTCCTGGAGTCCCTGCCTTGGCCCTGCTGCAGCAGAGTAACTGCTAGATCCCACTGGGAGCAGGGCTACAAGACTTCCTGTCCCAACCCCCACTGAAGGCCCCTCTCAGAGACCATCTAGAGGCTGTTCACAATCTAGAAAGTTTAGAGTGAGCCATGGCCTCCTGACCTCTCCTCTGGGCTGGGTAAGGGGTCACATCAGCCACTGATTTGCTGTGTGACCAGGGACAGTGCCATGTGTTTCTGGGCTTGTTTCTCTATAAATAAATGAAGGCCTTGGACCCATGGCCTGGAGCACCTCTGGGTTTCAGTGTGTGGTGCAGAACTGCCCAGAGGAGCAGGGCCAGATGGTCAGGGGGAAGAAGGACCCTGCTCCTTCCTCTGGGTTCTGTGGGATCCAGGGTTTGCCTCCACCTATGCACAGTTCCCAGGATCTTGGTTGGGGGTGAGTGTGTCTGTGTGTGTGCAGTGTTGGGGGTACTTACGCAATGGCCCTGGGACACTGCTGAGATCCTAGACCATGTCATTAGCTTTGACAGGAATGGCTCCTTCAAGGTACTCAAGACAGCACTCCCAGCCAGCACTGGTCTCTCCAGCTATAGAAAGAACAGGAGCAGGTATGGGGAGGGTGGCACTGTAGGGGTGACCTGTGTCTGTGGGGTACACTGTCTACAAAAGGGTCTGTGTGTACATTTCGTGTTGTGGGAGAGAGGTTTGGGGCATCCTGTGTGTGATTGTGTGCACGTGTTAATCTTCACTCCTTAGAGTTCTACCAGGACTAAACATCTCTTACTTTATTAGTCATTATTTTTATCCTTTCAAAAGCTACTTGCTATTGTCATTTGCTGGGTTTTATTTAGATTACTTATCTTTCTCTTAATTCTAAGACCTCTTTGGGGTTTTTATGTTTACTTTTTATTTAAAAAAATTTGGTGGGGGGAGTAGATAATAGATTTATTTTTTATTTAATGGAGCTACTGGTGATTGAGCCCAGGACCTCATGCACGCTAAGCACACACCCTACCACTGAGCTATTCCATACCCTCCAAGACCTCTTTGTAGATACTACACTTTAATGTCACAAATTTTACAAAGGTATTTAAACTTCTTGTGCCTTATCTTTTAATCTTATTTAAGATTATTTAAAACAAAAACAAATATTTAATTTTAAAAAGTCAATTTATCAGTATTTTCTCTCATGGTTGGTTCCTAGCTTTCATCTGATGCTTGGCAAGTTTTTCTCCATTCCATGAAAATAAAAAGATCTACTCATCTTTTTTAAGGAAATCTTTATTGTTTTTCCTCTTTACGAAAGTGATGCATGCTTGTTGTCAAAAACAAAAGGGCAATAAATTAATTTAGGTAGAGTATCTTCATGAGTTTTTCTATCTAAGAACAAGGTATCTCTCTCTTCTCCCATTTATTTAACTTTCCTTTTGTGGCCCTCAGTGGAGATTTATAATTTCTCCACATAGGTCCTGAATAATTCAGTTTATACCTAGAAAATCTACTTTTCTTGATGCTGTTGGGAATGAGATATTTTCTATTCATTGTTGGTATAAAAAAAATTTATCTTTGGATGTTATATTTAAACTGGTCATCACTCCATGTTTAAAACTGAATAAAATGGAAAAGCTTTGTTTCCTTGTGGAGATTCTGCCATATTCATTTCTCTCTCAGGGTATTCCACCAGGGTGAATCTGAGGATACTTGATCCAGTTCAGCTTTAGCCTTGGCAGTTCTCTACATCCTTCTCATTAGGATTTTCCTTCACTATGGACGCTCTGATGCTGACCAAGTTGGAAGCTAAACCTGAAGGCTTTCCCACACACATTACACACATAGGGTTTCTTCCAAGTATGGACTGTCTGATGTATAATACAATCAGAACTATAGCTGAAGCCTTTGCCACACTCCACACATCTGAAGGGTTTCTCCCCAGTGTGGCTTCTCTGATGCCGAACTAAATGGGCATTAACATGGAAGGCTTTTCCACACTCCTTACATTGAAAGGGTTTCTCTCCAGTATGGATTCTCTGATGTACAATATAGTCAGAACTACAGCTAAATGCTTTCTCACATTCCACACATTTGAAAGGTTTTTCCCCAGTGTGTATTCTCCGATGCCTAGTTAGTTTGGCATTGATGCTGAAGGCTTTCCCACATTCCTTACATTGATAAGGCTTTTCTCCAGTGTGGATTCGGTGATGATCCAGTAGGTTTCTTTTAGAAGTAAAGCACTTCCCACATTCATTACATTCAAAAGGCTTCTCCCCAGTATGAATCCTCTGATGCTGCATTAGTTTTGCATTAACGTTGAAGGCCTTTCCACACTCATTACACTCATAGGGCTTCTCCCCAGTGTGGATTCTCAGGTGCTGCCGAAGCTGGGAGTTACACCTGAAGGCTTTCCCACACTCTTTACACTCATAGGGTTTCTCACCTGTGTGGATTCTCTGGTGCTGGATTAATTTCCCTTTAACACTAAAGGCTTTTCCACATTCAGTACACTTAAAGGGTTTCTCCCCTGTGTGAATTCTTTGATGCTGAATGAGTTTTGCATTATTACTGAAGGCTTTTCCACACTCCTTACATTGATAGGGCCTCTCTCCAGTATGGATGCTCTGATGCTGCCTAAGCTGGGAGCTGCACCTGAAGCCTTTCCCACACTCATTACATTCATAAGGTTTCTCTCCAGTGTGGATTCTCTGATGTTGAATTAACTTTGCATTAACATTGAAAGCTTTCCCACAGTCATTACATTCATAAGGTTTCTCTCCAGTGTGGACTCTCTGGTGTGTGATATATGCAGAACTGCAGCTAAAGCCATTCCCACACTCCTTGCACTGATAGGGCTTCTCTCCTGTGTGGATTCGCTGATGCCTACTCAGACTCCCGTTAACGCTGAAGGCTTTCCCACACACCTTACACTGATAGGGCTTCTCCCCGCTGTGGATTGTCTGATGTGTGATATAATGAGAACTGTAACTGAAGCTTTTCCCACACTCCACACATTTGAAGGGCTTCTCCACACTGTGAAGTCTTTGATGCCAAATTAATTTTGCATTAATGCTAAAGGCTTTGCCACACTCCTTACACTGATAGGGCTTCTCCTGAGTGTAGCTATCTTCATCCTGGTTAAGTTGAGAGTTATACCTGAAGGTTTCCACTAATTCTTCACATCTCAAAGGTCTTTCCCTGGAATTAATTATTTCATGCTGAATAAGTTTTGTGTCAAACCTGAAGGCTTCTTCCAATCCTGTATACTCAGGGGGCTGCTCCCCAGGGGAGATGGTATGACACTGATTCAAGTCTGGATTTTGACTAAAGAAACAGTCCTCCGTGGGGCTTGTATTATCTTCCACTGTCCCATCAATGACACTGCTGTTTTCTTTCTTGATACTTCCTACTGAGTGGACTTCCTGCTGCTTCTCTAGAATATAGGTTTCTGAAAAGTCTGTTTCCTGGGAAAAGTCCCTCTGAAGTTCAAATGATGTATTATGTTTTTCTTCATACATTTCCTCTGTCAAATTATTGTCAGTCTGGATATCAATATCTACTATAAAAAACAGAAAACATAAAATACCATGTAAGAACAATGTTAAAAAAGAAAAAGAAAGAACTGGGTGATAGAAAGAATAAAGGATCACGGCAATCAAGGGGCTCTTTAAAATCACCAACTAGATCAAAGAATTAAGGTTCATCCATAAAGTGGAATAACATGGCTGGTAAAAAACGAAACAAATCTGTATGTGCTGACATGAAAAGATGTCAAAAATACATTGTTCAATGGAAAAACAAGTTGAGAAATGGTATGAGGAGTATCTTTCATTTGTGTAAATGTAAATAAAAAGGGCTGACACACACACACATATATTTGAATATGCCTAGAAAACTACAGCAAGAATACACAAGAAACTGGCACAGGAAGTTTGGGAAACTTCCCCCCAACTCCCACTTTTTACATTTTCTGTGCTGTTTTGAGCATGTATCAATATCATAAATTTTAAAGTAATGATTTTAAAAGATCACCAGTCTCTAAACCAATAACCAATAACAAGAGGGTTATAAGTTATAGTAAAGGAGCAAAATTCTAGGTCTTATCTGCCAGGTCAGCATTCTTCCCCATTACACCATACTTTCTAACATTCTGTTAATAAAAATGGAAATTGCTTAAGAAGGAAAAGGCATAGGATCCAACATGTGGCAACATGGAATGGCAGGTGTTAGCAACACCACAAAGTAAAAGGGAATGAATCTTGTTTCCTTTCTGAGAACTTAAACTCTACCCTTTTCAAAATTCCTCCTTCAACTGCTTTTTTTTCTGCTTCAGAAAGGCTCTGTTTAGCCCATTTGATCTCTCCCATTCCATTTCTTCCTACCCTCTCTGAACACTGTTGCATTCTCCTTGCATTTCCTTCTACCTCTTCTCTCAGTCCTAAAATTGGTCATTCCCTAAAATTCTTTTTATAATCTCATTAGTCTTTCTATAATCCCCATAGTCCCAGTAGGACTACTGATCTGTTCCCAAATTTCTCATAATTGGCACCAAAATGCTGCCTCTATTTTTTCATCTCTCATTTCTCCTCAACCACACATAATATGCTCCCTCAGTATTTCATTATACTCACTCTCAATAGACCCAAATGACCTGGATTTCCCTAGCAACCATTCTCAAAATACTATTGGTCTTTTCTTGATTATAAAAATAATATTCATCTATAGTATCAGAAACTTACAAAGAAGAAAACTCAAATTACCCAAAATATAAAATCTAACAAAAATTACTGCTAATCTTCTGATGTATCTCCTGCCCATCTTCCTAAAATCATACATATATTTTTTTAAAGTAAAAGTTTTCCTTCCTTAATATTCATGATGATCATTTCCCAATGTCTTTACATATTCTATAAAAATATACATTTTAATTGTTAAAGAGTACTCCATCCTGCAGAGGTACTGTAATTTACCATTCTCCCTATCTGAAAATTCAGGTTGTTTCCAATATTTTGTTACTATATAAAATTATGATGAACTTTTATACATGTGAATCCTCATCTACAATTCTGATTATTTTATTAGGATACAGCCCTAGAAGGGAATATCCAGGTTACCAAGTACAAACTTTTAAAAGGCTCTTGACAAGTATTGTTAAAGTACCTTCTAGGAAGACTACCAATTCATATTCACCTCCAGAAGTCCACTCCTGTTTTGCTGTACTCTCACCATCACTTACTATAAATTCATTGTTCTCAATGTGATAGATGAAACACCTCTCATTGTTTTAATTTGTATTCCACTGGTTTCTACTGAGGGTGAACTTTTTTCATGTTGATTACTATCTGTACTTCTTCTGTGGATTAAACACTTATATACATATATTTTGGGTAAAACTTTTTATGGAAGTAAAACAAACATACATACAGTAAACAGGACAAATCTTAGGTTTACGGCTCAATTTTTTTTTTTTTTACAAATACCACATTTCTAATTTTGAAGCAGCATCACTGAGGAATAATTGATATATTATGAAAATGTTCAGTGATTTTTAATAAGTTTATACAGTTGTGTAAGTTGTGATCCTTATCACCTCACTCCAGTTTTAGAACACTGCCATCACCCCAAAAAGTTTCCTTGTTCCAGTCGTTTGCTGTTCCCAACCCCCAGCCCCAAGCAATCACTGATCTGCTTTCTGTCACAGTCTATTTTACTTCTCCAAAATAAAACTGGCCTGAACCCACAATGCCAAGATAGTAATCCCAGGTAATCCTTCTCTTCCTAAAGGAAGGTCCGGCAGAACTGTCCTGTCCGACAATCCATGTTACCTAAACCTGTTGCTCCTTCTCTCAACAGTGAATAAATAGGAGAGCTCGCCATCACAGAGCTCGCCAGTCAAACAGAGATCGTCAAGGTCCTGCCACAAATCTCAGAAGCCCCTAAATCAGTTAAGAATTTTGAAGTAAGATCTCAAGAAAACAAGACAATGCAAAAGCAAGCTTTAACTCAATTTGCAGTTTTCCCAAAGGACAGGAATTTGTAGACTGTTCTAGTACTCAAACATGAATATTCTGGGCCCCCTGGCACAGGGCTTCCCAACCTCAACCATTTAACATTCTTTGCCAATTTTTCTACCCTAGTGACCTTTTTTTTTTAACCAGATCCTATGCTGTGGCAGATGCTACTGGCTGCTTAAACAATATCCATTCTCTCTTCCTTACTAGCACACCTCCATTTTGAGGTAGCAATAAAAACTGCAACTAAGAACTACATTTTCCACCCTCTTTTGCAGTGGGGATGGACATTTGACACAGTTCCAGCAAATGACATTTAAGCAGAAGTCACTGAGTGGGGCATCTGAGATTTTTTAAAAAAAATCAACTCTGCTGACACAGGCCTTATGCCCTATGATTTCCCCATCTGCTTGCCTAGAATCCATTTGACCCCTTACCCCGATCAACCTACTCATGCTGACTAGATGAATGTTTCCATCTTCAGCTGAGATCATGATAGGTTGTTCAAAGACTTCAGGGCTGTCTGCTGCCTACAGAATGAAATCCAGACTTCTGAGACTAAGAATCTCCACAATATTACTTTCTTCCCCTTCTGTCTATCAAGCATGTTAAACTCTCCATTTCCAAAACATGTCTTCCTTGATCAGGGAACAGCTGGTTGAATGATTACAAGGAACAAAAATCCACTAAAACCACCGTTTTCAAAAAGAAGATTCATCAGAAAGATCCAAGAGAATCTAGGGACTCAAAATGCAGGAAGTAAAGCTGGGCCTCATGGAAATGGGAAATCACCAGGCAGCTATTCTGTGTGAGCCAATGAGAATCTCACTACTTCAAGCATGCTCTGGGAACCAGAAGCATTGGCAGCACCAGAGAACTGAAAAGCAGAATCTCAGCCCTGCCCTAAACTAACTGAATAACAATCTGTGCATCTGCAAGACTCCCAGGAGATGCCCTGGTACATCTTTTAAGAAGCACCAAACTGACAGCATTATTTCCTCCCTCCCAGCTTATTTCCTACAGCGTATTACAACTTTCTCCTCAAAAAAAAATTAATGACTAACTGAGCACACACAATAAGCTAGACACTTGGTACATGTTACCTCATTTAATCATCAACCCACAAGACTAGCACTATTATCTCATTTTATTATTATTATTCCACTTTTAAGGGTGAGAACAGTGTCTTTTAGAGAATGCAAATAACTGACCTGCTCAAAGTCACCCAACTAGGAAGTAGCACAGTTGCGACTGGACCTCAGAAAGTCTACTCTAAAGTCTAGGTAAAAAGACTGCTAATTCTTCATCCTTCACATTAAGTGGACAGCGCTTAGAAAATAGCAAGGACCCAAAAAAGTACTGAATCCATTCATTCTGTCTGAGAAAGGCAGAATTCCAAAATTAGGATTAAAAAGAATTAGAATGAAGCATTTGAAAAATGATCTGTTCTTGGATTCAGAAATAAATAGCAAACTATGAAAACAGTCAAAAAGGTCTCAACCATACCTATCTCTAGAATTCATTAAAATTTATTTAAATGTTACTCTCTACAGTTGGCTAACAATGCTAGTATGTTGCTAAAGTTGATTTTCTTCCTAAAGAGTTAAACTTTCCAGCATAATGGGCAATATGTGCCTCCCTTACCAGTCCAGAGGCCCTGGGGGCCTGTGCCTGTTCCAGAGGCCAGTGGAGATGGGCCCCCCAGCTTACCTCCTCCCTCCAGTTGTGAGATCACAGCAGGTTTGAGAAGGGGAAATCCTGTTGTAGGGAAAGGAAATAGGAAAGACAGGTGAATAATCTCCCACAGATGAGTTCCTAAACCTCTTTTCAGATTGTCTCTGCAATGGGGAGAGAAGGAAAGAGCCCTGGGGGTCCTGTGCCAAAGAACTATGGGAAAGTAGGGGTGGGTGTTGGAAGGTATATGTGCTTGGTAGGGGTGGGAGCCTTGGGAAGATGTGGGAAGAATTGGGAAGGGGCCAGACTGAGATTCTGCCCAAAGGGATACCATTCTTTGACCATGGCCTGAAATAGTCAAAGTACACTGAGATCCTTGGAAAGACTCAAAAGAGATGCAGGTAGGGTGAGGGGGAACCTGAGAATAACACTGTGGAATAGGAAGTTACTTTTTTCCACACTGTGTTCAAAACACAGCCTCCTATTAGAGTGAATCAAGAGTACATACCAGTCCCAGCAAAGTCCTATATTGGCCCAAACAGGGCCTGGGGTTCACCCTTCCCAGCAACCCCTGGGTCTAGAGGATTAGGAATCAGCCCTGGGGTTCCCATTCAGTACAGGATTATCAGAGGCCCCACCTGCAATCAGTGGAGGGGGAAGGACGCCAGGAAACCCTAACCGGCAGAGTCTGAATTCCAATGGGAGAGAGGCCTTACCCAGGGAGGCCACATTCCCATAATTCTCCAGCATCACATCCCTGTACAGAGCCCTCTGTGCAGGGGACAGGCCGTCCCACTCCGTCTGGGTGAAGTACACAGCCACATCCTCGAAGGTCACCGACTTCTGAAACAATAGGTTCCTGCTGCCCCAGGGCCAATTCCATGGCTCAGGCCCTAAGTGAGGGGCAGAGGGCAGTATAAGGGCTTGGGGAGGGGCTTGTGAAGAGCACAAAATTAATAACAAGGGGAAAGATTTGGAAAAAACACCTGGAAAGTAAACCACAGAATAGCTGACTTCTCTCACAGCAGAGAAACCTCATGCCATATTTCATACTTAGAAAGGATGACATCAGTTGAAAGAAAAAAAATTCCCATGACTGGGTTCCCCTAATGCCACTGCTTTCTCTCAGTTAGGCCACACCCTCACTGGTGGAAGCAGCTTGGGACCCACCCAAACGCTTTCTCACTGCACCCCCTTAAGGTCTTACCTTCTCCATCCAGATTGCCACAGCTTGCCTTCACCCTCAGACTTCAAGCCACCCGCAAAGAACAGCCAGGGCTTCCGTCTCATGCAGCCCCCACCCTGCCTGATCTGGGTCATGAACCCCCTACAAGAGGCTGTGCAGCCCCTGCTCCGGCACCTCCAGCCGAGGAAGTTCAGCGCTGCTCAGATGGGCTGGAGGCCGGTGAGGGGTGGAGGGCGGGGTGAGAGCAGGCAGCCCATTCTGCTTCCAAGTGGCTCTCGTTGGAAACCCAGCATTTTCTGTTACCCTCTCCCATCCAATCCTCATCCTGTCCAACTTCACCCAGGACTTCACCGTCTCTCCAAGGAGGTTCAGAAAGAAGGGAGGTCGGCCATCTTTTCAGCTCCTCCTCTGCACCACTTTGTACGCACAGGCTCTGCCATCACCGCGTGCGGCCCCCAGGCCCACTCTTCCCCTCTGGGCAGCTGCCACCTCTGGCTGCTCTTGCTCTGCCCACCTTGGCCTTCTGTAACAACCTTGGGGACACACTGGCAGCAATTTGCCTCTCAGCGTCTCCCTGCCAGGCTTTGTCTTGCTCAATTCTACTGGCCTCCACCCATCAACAATCTGGTCCAACCTGTGGGTGTTTCTGTGACTCACTCACCTTGTGATCCTGGAGGTCAAGTAACATCTCTGCACAAAATTAAATGCCTTCACTTCCATCCACTACCCACCTTTACCCCACAAGGGTACTTCCTCCTGAATTCAAATCTCAGTGGTGTCACCCACTACTATCCACTTAGGAAAGAAACCTGAGAATTCATTCCTGACTCTTCCCTCACCCTTCCCCAACCCCAATCCATTGACTCTCCACCCTCAAAGAATTTTATGTAAGCATTACTTGAATGGGCTCCCCCTCTTTAACAACTACTTGCCTTAATAAAGCTTCCATCACCTAGACCAACGGGACTCTTTCTGAGGTGGTCACCTTGCTTTCAAATCTCTCCTGAATTACTCCCTACACAGCTGTCATAAATCTGACCACTTTAACTTTGCTGGTTCCACACGTGTCACGAGTCTGAACAGAGTCACACAATGACTGTGTGACCTTGGGCAAGTCACTCAGTCACTCCCCTTTGCCTTTGTTTCTTCTGTGGTAGGATGAACATAACACAGCACCTATTTTAAAGGGCAGCTGTCAGGACTGAATGATCCATGCAAAGCGCTTAGTATGATGCCTGAAGCATAATAAGCCTCCAAAGGTGTTACTAGAGTTACTGTGACAATGATTATTCCCAACCTATAGTCCATGGAGGTCCATGGATGAGCATCAGGTGGTCCAAGAAGTCCCTGAAATCGTATGGAAAATTTTGTTTGCATGTTTATTTTTCTAAGGTAGAGGTTCCAGAGCTCTCAACAAAGACCTAAAGGTTGGCCACTGCGTCCCAAGGCCCGAAAACCTCTCCACGACACAATGAGACATCCTGCCCCACAGCTTCCTCTTTCCCTCCCCTGACCCCACTCCCCTCATCCTCCCTGTCCCCAGAAGCAGAGGCACAGCCATCCTTTATGTGGATCTGGTCCTTCTATTCCTTTTTACCTACACCCCGTCCCTGGAACCCTAGTCCTCGGCTTCCCTCCTCCATTCACAGGCAGCTTAGAGCCCTCTGCTGGGGAGCTCCTGCACCACAGGGGCAAAGCACACTAGTGTGCAGAGGCTACACTTCTGCCTTTCAGGCACACCTCCCTGCTGCATCATCCCTTCACTGTCCTGTCTCTGGCCCCAATCCCTTCACATCACTGCTCTTCCCACAAGCCCCAGTCCAGCAGGCAGAAGCATGGAGGCCCCCTCCAGCTTTCATCACAAGGCTCACCAGCTTCCCTTCTCAGTTTTCTTCAGTGAGAAACTGCTCACAGGAAGAGTTGAAGGACCCACAGCTCACCTGGGGCCAGACTGTTAGGAGCATGGCTGCCATCACCTGGTCTCCCTCTCAGAAAAGGACTGGAGCTGTGGAAGAACAGAGAGAGAGAGACAAGTGTGAGACAAGCCACCCGCACCAGGAAAAATACTGCCCCCACAGATCTGAGACGCAGGCAGCCAACATCCAGACAGAAGTACAAGCAGGATCTGCCATGGGGAGAAGGGAGCCATCTGTTCCCGAGCTTTGCACCCAGGGCTCCTCCCAGCCATGACACTGATGCTCACTGCCAGGAACCCTAGGATTTTACAATTCTGACACCATCATACACACACAAGGGTGTACATAAAATGGATGCAGAGTCTAAAGAACAATAAAACAAAGACTCATGTAGCAATGATTCAGCTCAAGAAATAGACCTTTCCCAAGACCTTAGACCTATTTCTTTCTCTCAACAAGCATCACCCTCTACTATACTGCAAGAGAAGCCAGGCTGGAGGGGCTACAGCCCCAGCACTGAGGCCTCAGAGTCTGGCTCCAGGGAGACAGTACCTGGAGAAGGGGACAGCTGCTCCCTCCCATCCTGCCTGTTCCCTCAGACAGCTGAGTGTCCTCAAGAGTCCTGATATTTCTGTATAGAGATCACGGGAGGTCAGCTTCCTGCATGGCCCAGGCTTACCTTGAGGAAGTGAGGTAACAGGCTGGCTTCTCATACCTTCCAGCCTTCTGATGGCAAAGAAACCAGGGCCTAAGATGCCTGAGAGGGGATCACCATAGCATCCAGGGTGCTGTGACCCAGCACTCTTTGTCCTTTCTATTCAAAATCACATGGATTGGTTACTTTCGGATGCTTGCTCCTCCCAAAGTCAGTCTTCAGATTTTCTATATTCCTAAAATATTGCCTATGTCTTTCAGAGTTTCAACTTCAGTGTAGTTATGGAAAACAATGGCTCATGATTTTTCATTTCCTCCATATCTGGAGCTACTTTGCTTTTCCCATTTTTTCTCCCTCCAGTTTTTAGTTTTATTAGGTAGAATTGTTACAATTTGACTGCACATATAGAATATATTGCATGCAAATACATATATACAGTATACTGCACTTTTTACTTTACATATATGTACTGTTTTCTAAAAACAGTTTAGAGCTTTAACATTTTAAACTTTCAGTTACCAAATAAAGCCAATCACAAATAAGAATCACCAGAATGTAATAATCCAATCATAAAGGAGTCAAATGTGCTTACACATATTCAAGAAATCAATCATCTAAGTTATAAATAATAAGTAGTTCATTTGCGTTTTTTTTTTAGATTCCACATATAAGTGATATCAAATGGCATTTTTCTTTCTATTTCTGGCCCACTTTATTTAGAATGATGATCTCCAGGTACATCCATGTTGCTGCAAATGGCATTATTTTACTCTTTTTTATGGCTGAGTAGTATTCCATCACACACACACACACACCCACACACACACACCCACATCTTTATCCAGTCATCTGTTGATGGACATTTGGGTTGTTTCCATGTCTTGGCTATTGTAAATAGTGCTGCTGTGAACACTAAGGTGCATGCGTCTTTTTGAATTATATTTTTCTTTGGGTCCCACTTCTTCTTTTGAATATACGTGCTTTCTATACCTTTTCCCCTTAGTTAATGTTATGGACTGAATGTGTCTGCCCCAAATTCGTATGTTGAAGCCCTAACCTCCCATGTGACTGTATTTGGAGATACAATCAGTGAGGAGGTAATAAAGTTAAACCAGGTCATAAGGGTGGGGCCCTAATCTGATAGGATTGGCTCCCTAATAAGAAGAGACCCCAGAGCTCTCTTTCTGCCATATGTGGACACAGCAAGAAGACAGCCTCTGCAACCCGAGAAGAGAACCCTCACCAAGAACCAAATTGTCTGGTACTATGATCTTGGACTTCTAGCCTCCAGAACTGTGAGAGAGAAATTTCTGCTGTTTAAGTCAGGCAGTGCATGGTGTTCTGTTATGGCAGCCCAAGCAGACCAATAAAGTTAGGCTGAACTGTGGTTTATCTATGTTAATGTTGTTTTCTTTGACTTTTCAAGAACCAGCTTTTCTATTTATTAAGAACACCACTCTCTTTTCTATTTGTTTTTAATTTAATTTAATTTAATTAAGTTCTGCTTTATTAACATTTCTTTAGCTCTGTTAAGAGACAACTTATGCACCTCTCCAAATCCTCTTGTCCACTCTTAGTCTGGTTCAGAGGCTTTGACCAGCTCTGCACAAGTACAACCTACCAGGGCCTCCTCAGGGGTCTACACTACACATGTCTGGCACCTGCCCTGGAGCTTCTCTGTGACGTATGGGACATCTGCAGACATCAGCCGGGCCTGAAGGACAGAAGAGTTAATGCTTGTGAGGCTGCCCTTGACCAACAGGGGACAGAGGTCAATGGATAAACTTTAGTCCATCATGTGGGCAGCCATGAGATTCCAAGGCTCCTCAAAGATCCTGTAAGACAGAATACCAGTCGCCTGTAGAGAGGCGAACCTGACAACGCGTCTTTCTGTGTTTTACTCCCCTTATTTCTCACTTCTGAGACGACATTACTAAATAAACTGCCTCTGTCCTATGTTCTGCTTTTAGGGCAAGCTAGACTACAAAAGGCTTTTTTCTACCTTCTAAAGGTTGCATGATTTATTCACTTATTTTTATTCTTTCCTATTTGGCAATCAAAACCTTTAAGGCCATAAATGTTTCCTTGAATACGTTATTACCCACATCCCAGAGGCTTTTTATATTTCATGTTTTAATCACTATTTTATAACTCATCAGCAATTGTGTTTTGTCTCTGAACAAAGAATTGTTTAGGACAGTTTGTTGTTAATTTATCTTCTGTCTTTATTGCATGGTGTTTAAATAACCTGATCTATTTACTTCTGCTTTACAGATTGAGAGTAGTTGTTGTTGTTGTTTTTGGTAGCTGCAGTAACCATTTAAACAATATTCTATGAATGCTTAAAAAGAAAACTTATTCTAAGAGGGAAGAACACACAATTCTATTTGAATCTAATAAATCAACTCTACCAATTCTATTACACAGATTTCTCTCTGTAATTCATGATTACTTTTACCTAATTAAACTGAGAGAGCCAGAAAAGAGTGAACTCTCACAAAACACTTAGCCAATATATATCATGGGCAAATCCTTTCACGTATCTAGGAAATGAATAATTCTAACACCAAACTGTAGCAGAGAACAGAAAAACAAGTTTCCCAGTCCTTTTTCCGATGCCAGCACAATACTTATACAAAAACCGTAGACCAGTCTCATTTATGAATACGGATGCAAAAATCCTAAATATTGAGGAGTATGCCATATTAATACTCCAGTAGTTCATTAATATGACACATCATGACTAAGAGGGATCATCTCATGAGTGCAAGTTTAATATTAGCATACAGATTAGTATACTTTTCCAAATTAATAAGTCAAAGAAAGGTAAACATACTCTCAATCTCAGTGGATGCCAAAGATGTTTAATAAAATTCAACATTCATGCTTAAATTTTAAAACTTATACCCAAGAGAAACTCTCATACATAGGAAATACATACAAAATTATTCATTATCAGCAGGATTTTAACAGCAGAAAACTAGAAACAACACACTTGTCCACTGAGAATACATAAATAAGCTGTCATACAGTTTATATGATAAAACATTCCCAGTAGCAAAAAATAAGCGGCTCACAGCTAGAACACAATATGGATGAATTTAGGAACATAATACCTGAGTTATGCAAGTCTCAGAGGACTACAGACACCATGATGTCATCTTCATAAAGCTCGAAAAAAAATAAATCACATTATTTACAGACACATGCATACGTAATAAAATTATTTTTAAAAAATAAATAAGGCTACGATTAACACAAAATTCAACAGTTATTACCTCCAGAGGTGGGAAAGTGGGAGCCGGGTTGAAGAGGCACACATAGACAGATGCAACCATACTGCAATGTTCTTAATGGTGTGGTGTGTTTAACAGGTGCTCATTTTACTACTATGCTTCATAAATGCCATGCTAAATATAATCTTCTGTATACGTGAGTGACATTTAAATATGTGTGTGTGTGTGTGTGTGTGTGTATACACACAGACTTATCTTTATGATATGGAATGACTTCTCAAGTGCAAAAGTTGGGTTGCTACCTTTTGTGTAATAAAAAAAAAGAAATATAATAAAATATACGTGTATCTGGTAATTTGTGCAAAAAGAAATAAAGGATAAACCAGAAACTAAGAAGAATGGTTGCCTCAGGTACGGATGAGAAGTGGGTGAAAAGAACCCAGGAATGGAATCAGGATGGAAGGAAACAGATTGGAAGGGACAATGAGGATGTGACACTTCTGAGTGTGCCTTTTTGTTCAGACTTTCATAACCATAGAAATGTTTCCTATATATATATAAATCATATATATATATATATATATATGGTTGGTTGATTATATATATATATAATTATATGTATGTAGGTAGGTATGTGTGTGTGTGTGTGTGTGTGTATACATATACACACACACACACACACATATATATCCCGGGATGGGATAGGGGATGAGGACGCAAAAAGGAATACAAAAAACAGCAAATGAACCTAAGTATAACACAACTGAATAACATAACCACACTGAAGTGGTGGGAAAGAAAATAACCAAATAACTTTGGAAAACAGTATTTTAACTAAACACTAAAAGGCTAAAAAGACTTGTACCCAAAGATTTCTTGAGGTTGCACAATTTTTAAATTTATTTTCATTCTTTCCTATTAGGCAATTAAAACCTGTAAGGCCACAAATTATCCTTTGAATACACTACTAGCCACATTCCAAAGTTTTTTTTTAATATTTCATGTTTTCATTACTATTTTATAGTATATTTTTGGTAAACTTGCTTTCATGAGGGTATGAATGAGCAATTCTGTAACTATTTTATGTATATTCTAGGACTGAACAAGTCAGTATACTCTACATTGCATAAATTATTCTCAGGTCACTGTCATCCCACAGCCCAAGAGAAATTGAGCCGGGTTACCTTTTGGAACCGACACCACTCCAGAAGACAGTGGCCTCCAAAAGCCGGGCTTCTGCTCTCGGACGTCCTGGTGGGGCTCTGCTTTTTCTGCTTCCCCAATGACTCTGACTCACGACCCTGTGTTAGACGCCAGGGTGCATACAATCCATACTTGAAATGCATTCAGGTAGAAGACCCTGCACGACTTTAACATGTCAAAAGACCTGATACCACTTCAGGCCGCTTCACGCCTGCAATAATGCACCCTGTGGCTGCTCCAACACATCTTTCCAAAAGGCCAGCAGCATTTTCCCCAAAGTGCTAAATTCTCGGGTCTTCGTGGCTGTGACAATAACCCACGCTTCACCTTCCACGGGATGGGACGGAACGTAATTGGCCACCAAATACAAAGTGGAAGTAGAAGAGGGGCGGAACAGGCCCCCAGGTACCGGAGACCCAGCTCCACCCAGGGTGGAGAAGCAACATAACAGCACCCACAAACTCGGAGTCAGGCACCTCCCCGCCTCCCGCGGCCCCACACTCACCTCCGCAGCAGGCGGCTCTGAGGCACGGCCGGAAGTGCGTCACCAGGCCGCGACCGAGCCTCTCTAGGAGCAGCGGCGCTCCCTCTCGTTGGTGCTCTGGCCTAGCTCCCTGCAGCCAGTTGTTTCCGAGCCTCCAACTTGTTTCTTCTTCGTCTTCTGTGGTTCTCATTCAGAAAGCAATTGCTCCTCGCAGTGGGCTGGGAAGGCAAGAATGAGAGGCAAGCGCTGGTCCCAACCTGGAGGGTGGCGCCGGGGCTCTGTATCTTAGTCGATCTGCAGGTATAGACAGATCTGGAAGTCTCCGGACTGGACCCGTGGATCGCTGTCAAACTCAAGGCCCCCCTTCCGGAACAAATGTTTCCTAATGACCACCATACTCCCCTGTCATGAAACTCATAGATAACGGCATAGAAGATCACAGGCAATATAAACAGCCTGAATTTTAAAAATTAATTTTATGTAATAACATGTGGGAAAAGAGAAATAAAAGGAAAGTAATTTATAATTAAAAAAATATATATCTCAGAATGTAACTGTTTGGTCATGACTATTGTAGGAGAAGTAATAAATTGATCAGATAATTTGCCTCCTCACATAAAATGTGACTGAATGCCACAGCCACAATGCTTGTATCTTACATTGGTGTTTCAAAATCATAAGGTGTGGTCCATAGTGGTGATCCCTTTTTGGTAAAGTTCTGAATGAAACAGTGTACAATCTTCTCTTCATTATACAGTAGTTATCTTTCTGGAGAATCAGCTATGTTAAAACTGTGCAAAAACACACTGTGTTTATCTCGGGGGAAAAAAAAAAGCTCTAGATTCAGGTAATTTCTAAACAGTTTTTACCCACATAAATGTCCAGCAAGACATGAAAGTCTGTGAAAACTTTTTGATAGGTGGGTCCAACCTGTGCATTGCAGGATTTTTGTGGCCCTCCTGGCTTCCATCCAACATCACCAAATCTTGTGACAAAAAAAGTCCCTGTAAAATTCCAAAATGAAGCCTGGGGGAGGGGAACAGCACTAAAAGCCCCTGGATTAACCACTCTTAGTTCCCTCCCAACCCTGACAGTGCAGGCCTTTCACCTTTCAGTTCTGATGCCTCCAATGTGGCTGCACTGGAAGGTAGTCAGCCCTCCCTCATCTCTCCAGCCTCTCAGCATTCTAAGTCTCTTCCCTTCAGCTAGGGCACAAGGCCCAGCACAAAGGAGGCATGCAATAAACATTGGTTGTTGACATGTCCAAGGGCTTCAGCCCCAACTCCTGGTAGAACCTTTCTTTATTTCAGTGCCACTGAGGGTAGGATATGTCTTATGCTTGAGATCATGACACTAACCAGGAGCTCTTCTCTGCTTTGTCTCTTCCCTGATCATCACTGTTGCCCAAAATGAGCATTCAGATAGGAAAGTGGTCCCATGATTGGTCAGAATGATAGCTGGGGATTACACTGCTCTTGGCAAGAAGTGCTGTTTCCACTTCTTCCTAAGCCCAGAAAGCAGACCTTTAGCTAGGAACGAGGTCTTGTCTAAAGAAATAAAAAAGAACTAGATCACAGTGTCACAGAAATAATGGCCTCAAATGTTTTACAGATAAAGTAAGGCCTCCTAAATGATCATGAAGCTCCGACTCCTAACAGTGCTGGGACAGGTGCATGACAAGTTCCTAAAGCTATACAGAAGGCCTGGAGAGGCAGACCACACTCCTTGTCTTCCAACCCGTTTTCCCTTTCTTATATGTAACAGAATCTCTAGCAAGGCAAAGACAGTCCAGAAAAAAAATAACACTTTCTAGCACCCTTTACAATAAAGTGTGGACATGTGACTAACTTCTGGCAAATAGGCTGTAGGAAAAAGCAATGCTATGCCCTTAAAGAGAAGGAGCACACCCTCCCTAGTCCCTCAACCAGGGAATGCTGCCAGGGGTGTGAGCATCTTGGACCATGTGGATGAGGATGTGGCCCCTGAGGATGAGAGAGCAGCCAGAAGGGAGAGTCATGGAGCTGCTATATCAGCCCTAGCAGCCCATATCCTAACTAATTCCCTTGGAAATGAGGGATGGTGGAAAAATCACACAAAGTAATGGTTAAAAACTTAAGCTGGCTCTCATAGTTCAATGTTCTGGAAGTCCATCTCTATGCTGGGCCTATAGCCATGTTCCTTCCTACTCAGCTCTAAGGCTTCTTCTGTACCCTTTGTCCCTGCATTCCCAGGGCTTCCATAAGACCTTTCCTCTCTGTCCACTGGGGAAATTGACAATCTTCTTGCATTAAAAAAACCTCTTTTGGTGTTTCCAGTTTCAAGATGACAGAGTAAAGATGGTTCTGCCTGTGTCTCCTCTTGAAAAGTGTGGGAAAACAATAAAAGTCTGGTTGGGGTTCATTCCAGGTGTTCAAGGATGCTTCAATAATATAAAAATTTTCCTTATTTATTGACATTGTGAATTAAATTAATAAATCATTCAACTTACTATGTGGAGAAATATACTAGGGTACAGAGAGATCTTATTCAAAAAAGCAATGAAACAGCCAAAAATATTTAGGAATAAATTTAACAATACGTGTTTAAGACATAGATGAAGAAAACTTTAAATACTCGGGGACTAAACTAGCAACAAAAAATACTTGTACAAATGGAAAGGAACAGGTGATTTTTCAATAGGAAGGGCTTCCATCTTGACTTAATCTCTAAGGCCAATTTCAAACAATTTTGAAAAAGGAGAATAAAGTAGGAGGAATTGGTCTACTCAAATGAAACCCCAATAGGATTTGTTTTGGTTTTGTGAAAATGATTCTGAAGTTTATCTAGGGAAAAAATAGATATTTACAAGGTACTACTAAAATATAAGAATGCAAAAGGATTGAAAATTAAAGAATGAAAAAGAGATATGTCATATAAGTACTCAGCTAAACGAAAAATGGCATAGCAATATTAGTATCTTATAGCAACCACTTTAAGACACAAATATTAGGCAGAGTTCTCTTTCAGGCAATGTAGTAAATGCTGTAAAATAGTATCTAGAAATTTAGGATAAGATATAATTTACAACATCATTTTAAACACTTACCGCATAGGAAAGTATACCCAGGTGTCAAAAATGAAGAGGAACTTAGTGCTGTCTAGTCAGTAAGTTCAAATCACTTACCAGCTAGCTGTTGCAGTATTTGATTTAGTGGGAATGAAACTGAGGAGCCCTGGTTCCTTCACTGACCAGCTATGAGACACTGGGCAATCACTTAGCATTTCTGAAATTCCAATCATTCATCTGAAAAGTAGAGTAATAGTATGTAGTTGTTGTAAATACCATATATTGTTTTACTTAAAATACATACAATAGGACATGGGATTCGGTGATTGCTCAATTAATATTAACCTTTTTCCTCCTCCACCTTAATTGTGGGTCCGACCATCCTTATATATTTTTCAATAAAGGAATAACTAATCAATGCATAAGTTTGTAACTATGACACTATAGCAACAAGGGGAAAGAGGCTGCAGTGCCAAACTCTTTCAGAAGTTTGTTTTGCCTGACTTCACTAAAACTTGCTGACAACAACCAACTTCAGAAGTTTCTTCCACAGTGAAAGAAAACCCAATCCACTCTTTCTGAAAAGAGGTTTACACTCGGAGGCTAGCAAGTTATGAGTATAAATGAGAAGTTGCCTGTCTCCAAATGAATACAACATATCCTCTTTCTCACATTTTTTCCACTAATAGAAGAATCCTGAGTAGTATTCTCCGTGTAGCACAATCAGGTATCAGATATTTCCTCCTAACTTGAAGGATGTCGGCTCCCAGAATACCAGTAATACTGGGTCTCAAACTCACAGCTCTCCCAAAGGGGTCCAATTATGAGCTCTGATGCTGAAGTCTACTAGAAGGAAAGGAAAGAATCTCATCCCTACACTGTCATAAAGAGCCTTCCAAAAGAGTGCTATCTATAGGGGATTACAACTATTCAGCATAAAGAAGTCAAAAGTCTCAGGAAATTAGCAGAATCATTGCAACGTGCATTCACGGACGAACTACAGTAGAGAAAAGTAGGTAAAGTGTGGTGCTGTCCGAGGTGCTGACCCTGCCTCAGCGTATTTCGGAGCTCTCCAACGTTCTCAGTCTGAACTCAAAAGCTTTGTTCTCCAGCCTGCCCATAGTCCCCCCTGAATGTGTTTAAACACTTGTCTCATTCTATTTCTTATTTTGAATTCAGCTGGCCAGAACCTGACACATATCGCCTAGTGTCCCAACTCTAGCTTGCTTCTGCCTATCACTTTGCCTCAAAATCTATAGAATTCCAAAGATGAGAATTTATTGTGGACCCAAATGACCAAGGTGGCTCTTCTGGGGATTTTTCTTACATCTTAAAGATCTCTATAATTATGAGTTATTTGTCTTTGAAAAGTTAAAAAGACAAGGACTACATATTTTTCTTGTTGGTAAAAGTAAATTACCCCAATACAATTTAAACATAATAAAACTACACAACTTAAACATAGATTAAATATAATAAACGTGTAATAAAACTGGAAGCTCTAAATGTTCCAATTGCTTTACTCAGCCACTTCAAACTCTTCCTGAACGAGTTACCTTGCATGCAAGTGTTCTGATTTTTCATCTGAATGGCACTTTATGAGGTCATAAACCTTTCATATTTATTATGTAATTGTTTCTTCACATCATCCTGAAGAAGATATAGAAGGTATTTTTTTATTGAAGTATAGCTGATTTACAATGTTGTGTTAGTTTCTGGTGTATAGCATAGTAATTCAGTCATATATATATACTTACACATATATTCTTTCATATTTTTCCCATTATAGGTTATTACAAGATATTGAATATAGTTCCCTGTGGTATACCATAGGACCTTGTTGTTTATCTATCTTGTATATAGTATTTTATATCTGTTAATCCCAAACTCCTAATTTATCCCTCCCCACCTTTGCCTTTTGGTAACCATGTTTGTTTTCTGTGAGTCTGCTGCTGTTTTGTAAACAAGTTCATTTGTCTCATTTTTAAGATTCCACATATAAATGATATCATATGATATTTGTCTTTCTTACTTCACTCAGTATGATAATCTCTAGATCCATCCATGTTGCTGAAAGTTGGCATTATTCTTTTTAATGGCTGAGTAGTATTCCATTGTACATGTGGTATATATCACAACTTCTTTATCCAAACATGTTGATGGACATTTAGGTTGCTTCCATGTCTTGGCTACCGTAAATAGTGCCACTATGAATGTTGGGGTGTACGTACCTTTTCGAATTAAAAGTTTTCTCTGGATACATACCCAGGAGTGGGTTTGCTGGATCATATGGTAACTGTTTTTAGTTTTTGAAAGAATCTCCATACTGTTTTCCATAACAGCTACCCCAAACTACATTCCCACCAACAACGTAGGAGGGTTCCCTTTTCTCCACACCCTTTCCAGCATTTATCATTTGTGAACTTTTTAATGGTGGCCATTCTAACCAGTGTGAGGTGATACCTCATTATGTTTAAGCCTTTTAGCCATTCTGAGTTTAGCAGAAGGCATTATTATAGCCATTTTATAGATAAGGAAAAACAAAACTTCCAGGTTACAGCCTTTATAAAACATAGTGTACGGTGGAAGAGAAAAGCTTTAAGTAACCAGCACCTGAATAGTGCTATGCAAGGTGAGTTCTGAGTTCCACAGAAATATCCACCACAACTATAGCTGAAAACACAAGTGTCACAAAAGTATGTTATATGGGTACTGAAGTCATCTGCTATATTTTACCATCAATCTGATGGGTTTCATTATCCAAACTGTAAAACAAGGGTAAACATAGTGCCAATCTCAGAGTTATGAAAATTTAAATTTACTGAGCACAGCCAGCCGTCCACCAACATTTTTTCCATTTTCCAAAGCTTTTAGACATGTAGAAACAGATGGCAGTGATGAACTACAGCTGAAGGAGTTAGTTGCCCACTCAAACATCTCTTCCCCTCCTCCTCAGTAGCAGAATCCTCAACTTATTTGATGTAGCACACTGCCACCCAACTAAGACACTTCCCAGTGACCTTAGTCAGCAGCCTGGCATAGCCATGTGGCTAAATTCTTAACAAAATTATTTAATCAGCTAATTCTTAACACAGTTACTTAATTGGCTAATTCTTAACAGAATTATTTAAGTAGGAGAGTTCCGTGGTACTTACCAAAAGTCTTCTTAAAAGCAAACTGGTGAGCCTTTCTCCCCTTTTCCATCCTGCTGGAGATGGAACAAGCACTTAATGGTATTCTAGCAGACACCTTGGACCATTAGGATAATGACCCCACTGAGGATAGCCAAATGGTAATTTAGAACAAGACTGGGTCCATGCTGACATTGTACAACTTGCCTTGCCAGTTCTAGGATCTCTTTTGTGAGAGAAATATATTTCTATCTTATATTAGGGCCTGTTTTGGGTTTTTCTCTTTTATACAGATCAATATAATTACTGTTAGAAGACTGAATAGCCACTCAAAGATATCAGGTTCTAATCCCTGTAAACTGTGAATGCTGCCTTAGATGACAAAGTTTTTGCAGGTGTGATTAAGGGTTTTGAGATTAGATTATTCTGGATTATCTGGGTGGGCCCTAAATGTCATCACAAACATCCTTATGAGAGCAGAGGGGGGTTAGATATATAGAGAAGGTAATGTGAAGACAGAAGAGACAGGAATGATGTTGCTGAACTAAGGAATGCTACCAGCCATCATAAGCTGAAAGAAACAAGGCAGATCCTGCCCTAGAACCTCCTGAGGGAGTACAGCCCCATCAACACCTTGAATTCAGCCCAGGGAAACTTATTTCATATTTCTCCAGAACTGAGAGAATAGATTTCTATTGTTTTACACCACTAAGCTTGTAATAATTTGCCAGTCAAAGGAAACTCATACATTAACCATAAATGACTAAAGAACAATTACTCAGATGGACCTGACAGTGGCAATGCGGTCAGGGACCAGCTATCCCACTCCTGGGCATATATCCAAAGGGAACTCTAATTCGAAGATACATGCACCCCAAAGCTCATAGCAGCACTATTTACAATAGCCAAGACATGGAAACAACCTAAAAGTTCATCGACAGATGACTGGATAAAGCAGCTGTGGTGTATTTATACAATGGAATACTACTCAGCCATAAAAAGAATAAAATAATGCCATTTGCAGCAACATGGATGGACCTAGGGCTCATCATTCTAAGTGAAGTAAGCCAGAAAGAGAAAGAAAAATACCGTATGATATCACTCATATGTGGAATCTTAAAAAAGAAAAAGAAGAAGAAAAATGAAGACACTAACGAGCTCATCTACAAAACAGAAACAGACTCACAGACATAGTAAACAATTTTATGGTTACTGGGGGAAAGAGGGGTGGGAAGAGATAAATTTGGGAGTTTGAGATTTGCTAATGTTAACCATTAGATATAGATATAGATATAGATATAAATGTAGAGATTAAAAAATTTCTTCTGTATAGCACAGGGAACTATATTCAATATCTTATAATAACCTTTAATGAAAAATAATATGAAAACAAGTATGTGTATATATATGCATGATTGGGACATTGTGCTGTGCACCAGAAATTGACACATTGTAACTGATTACACTTCAGTTAAAAAAAAAAGGACCAAAGGGAAAACAAAGGTATTTCTTTCTGTTAACTCTTCCCAAGTCCTGGAATTCTAACTGAACCACCTTGGGTCACGTACTGACACCTGAACCAAAAGCTTGCAGGGTAGAATCTGCAGCTGAGCTGGACCTGTGTCACACATTCTACTCCTGAGTGGAAGATGGAATCTGAAAGGAAATTTAGTGTACTATTACAAGTTAAAGGGGGTAAAAAATTCCCGGAGGCCAAAGCAACCAATATCCAGTGCAGGTTTCTCTCCTGGATAGACATGATCTAGCTGGGAAGAAGTCCTGAATGTTTCTTCGTATTTGACACATTCATTGGTTTTTTTTTTTTTTCTACTACAGACTCTTTGATGCTGAAGCAGATTTCTTTTGCTAGTGAAGATTTTTTTCACACTCATTACATGCATAGGAAGACTCCTGAATATGGATTCTTAGATGCCTTTTTAAATGATACTGAATACTAACGGTTTTACCACAATCTACACAGTCAAAAGTTTTCTCCTCACTATGGACTCTCTGGTACCGAGTTAGTTTTTTAAGAAAATTGAAGGCTGCCCACATATTTTACAAGAATAAGGCTTTTCCCCTGTGTGAATATGGTGATGTTGACTAAGATGAGAAGTCCTTCCAAAGCTTTTGCCACACTCATTACATTCACAGGGTTTCTCTCCGGTGTGGGTTTTCTGATGTCGAAGTAGTGATGAATTACCAGTAAAAGCTTTTCCACACTCATTACACTCAAAGGGTTTCTCCCCTGCGTGGATTCTCTGATGTAAAACAAACTCAGAACTACTGGTAAAACCATATCCACACTTCTTGCAGAAATAGGGTCTGTCTTCATTGTGGATTCTCTGATGTCTGATTAGATTTGTGTTATCATTAAAGACTCTCCCACACTCCTCACACTGATAGGGTTTCTCTCCAGTGTGGATTCTCTGATGCCATATTAACAAAGAATTGCCATTAAAGACTTTTCCACACTCATTACACTCAAAGGGTTTCCCCCCAGTGTGGATTCTCTGGTGTTTAACACAGTAAGAAAAATAGCTAAAGCAATTCCCACACTCCTCACATCTGAAGGGTTTCCTATCATAGTGGATTCTTGGAACCTTTCTTCTAATATTTTTTGCTCTGGGGACTTGCTGGTGCTTCTCCAATTCACATGTTTCTGGGAAGCTGTTTTTCTTAAGAACATTCTTCTGCGGCCCATGTGACATCATATCTTTTTCTTCAGAAATTCCCCGAGTTGGTGTTGACTCAATGTCAATGTTGGTTCTGGCATCTGACGTAATAAACAAAACAAAAATGCAACCTGAGAATTATATGGGAAACAAAAGAACACTAAAAACTATAGTACAGTCTCTGCTTGTCTGAAGCTTCCCTTTCTGTGGATTTCAGTTTCCCTCAGTCAACCATGGTCCAAAAACATCAAATGGGAAACTTCAGAAATAAACAATTCATAAGTTTTAAACTGTGCACCGTTCTGAGTAACACAATGAAATCTAGTGCTATCCTGCTCCAGTTGGATGTAAATCACCCCTCTGTCCAGTGTATCCACTGTAACATGCTACCTGCCTATTACTCACTTAGTAGCTGGCTTGGTTATCAGATCGACTGTGGCATTATATCAGTACTTGTGTTCAAGTAACCTTGTTTTACGTTATAATGGCCCCAAAGAACAAGAGGAATGATGCTAGTAATTTAGATATTCTTATTGTGTCTAATTTATAAATTAAACTTTATCATAGATAAGTATGTACAGGAAAATACAGCATATACATAGTCAGTCCTCTGTACCCAAGAATGCAGAACCTGCAGTTATGGAGGGTTGACTGTACTATGCCATTTTATATAAGGGACTTGAGCATCTGCAGATTTTGGTATCCACATGGGTCTTGGAGACAACTATGTAGGATTCAGAAATATCTGCAGTTTCAGGCATCCACTAGGGGTCTCGGAATGTATGCCCAGGAGATAAGAGAGGACAACTATATAGACCTTTTAGAGACTAGTATTCCAACTCCCACATGGACCTGCTAGTGAGACAAGGCTATTACAATGAAAGTGCCAAATATCATACAGGCAGAGAATGGTTAAGGTGGAACAAGGTATCAGTGTGCACATCACAGATCAGATTACTTCCTAAACTTTTTTAGACTCTTTCAATGACTTCTTCCTGGTATGTTCCAGTATCTTTTGACTTTATGGTACTTACTTACAGGCCTATAAAAGAAGGGACAGGATCTAAGAGCAAACAGTGGCTATGCAGATAGCAAGATTCTGAGTCAAAAAGTAAAAACAGAACAGTATCAGAAAAAAACAAAGGCAATGGATGAATTATTGTTCTTCTTAAAAATTCATGCCCTGCAAATGTTCCAAAAGAATGAAGACACTGAGTGTTAAAGAAACTAATTTGTGGCATGACAGAGAGAAAAACAAAGAAAATCACAGAAGCTCTTAGAGGCCATCAGCCCCAGAGGTTCTTAACTGCAGGTCAACAGATAATGAGTGAACAACCAAAAACTATTGGCAATTACTGTTTTGTCATCAGACTTGCAAGAAAGTCTGAACCTCATAGATGCAGAAACCACTGTCCTAGATTCTGCCTATATGGAAAGGGAAAAACAAAGTTTACTCAGACACGCCAAGACTGAAGAGTATCCTCTTATTAGCAAAAATGAGACAAGAAGTCACCTGTAAAATGGCATTGGTGTTCCTAACAATTGGATGACATCTTACTTAAGTCAAAGTCTACATATTTTATACAAAATGTTGGACTAATTCTGTTTTAACATTAATCGGGTTCTCTGGGGCTCATCTGCTAGTTAATCAAATTCATCCTTGGAGGTGGGAGTTAAATGAGCAAGGGCCCTTAAAAGGAGCGCAGTTGGAGAGGAGAGATCTGAGATTGAAGTAAACAGGGTAACCAACAATCTGAAAAAGAATGATCAAAACAATTGAGAACCTCAGAGTCTATTCTGACACCTGACTCTTTCTTGCTCTTAGGGTGTTCCATGTTATAAAATCAGGACTGAGCAATCAATGATTAAAAAACATTATTTTCCCTGCTGCCCTGTATTCCACCATTCACCTAGATCAGGATCCCCACAGCAGGAGGTTCCCTACTCCTGACAAACCCTCACCCCTTCCTAGTTCTCCTGTCATTATCACCTCCTTTCTCTGAAAAAACAAAGCTGCCCAGATGCAGTGCCCTCAACTTCTTTCTGTCCCATTTCTACATCCTCCCATCCCAAGCCACCCTCTCAAGTCTCACACTTCCCTATCATCCCCGGTGCCATCTCCTCCACTTTCCCTGATATACTGCTCTACCAGCCGTACCGCCCTTTTTCTTCACCTTCAACATTCTTTAGATCCTCAAATCCATTTCACACCCAATTTTTTCTCATAGTAGTGTTTTTTAAACTGCATACTTATTAATTGTGAAACTGATGAGGTGTGTCATTATCAAACAACTTAAAAAAATGAAACATATTAGTCTACATTAGAACAGAATAGAATAGGATTTGCACACATTGCAATGTTAAGAGTAAATTGTTTCCTGATACTTCAGTTTCAGAGTACATATGAGTATTTAGGGTTTTGATGCAAAATGTAATACCTGAGGCTCATAATAAAAAAAAGTTTGAAAACCATTTGCTACTGTTTACAGTATTTTCTTTCACCTCTAAACTTATCAAAGTAAGAGGCTAAAGCACTGCCTCAACTTTGTCATTTCCCATCTACTCCCTCTCTGCAAACCATCTATCCTGAAACCCCGACCTTTGGCTTCAGTTCCACTGTCCTGTCAGTGGCTATCCCCTGACTACCTAACTAATCTATTTTCTCTTTCCTCTCTCACTAAAATTAAGTATTCCTTAATACTGAAGACTCAGCCCTCCTTTTTTCTCTCCAAGGGTGTCTGCACTAGCATCCATTTACATACTCTAAAGGGACCTCACACTCTGTGCTCAGATCCGAATTCATATGAATTCTAAAAGGTCCTCCTATGTCTTGACTTCCCAATGTTATCTGACACAATGCTCCCTCTTTATGGTGGAGCTTTGATAAGATCTGGCCAATTCTACCTCCACACTCTACTTCCAGTTCCATTTTTGCATTACCACTATCCTCTACCCTATTTAACCACTCAAAAGTTAGTGCATGAAATATAATAATAGTTTAATAAGATTTTATGCCACAAATTTCCTTTGGGCCAAACAAATCACGTATTATGTTGAGCTAATATTCTGTGCACAAAACCAATCATGGGCCTCTGTCACTAGTGGCAAGGTCACTGTGGTGGGGTCACTGCTACTGCTCCACGTTCTGTTTTGTCTACTCTCATTTCCTGTTTCTATGCCATGAGTTTTCTAGGACAGAATCCTTTGGTCCACTTCAAATTCTGCATTCTAGACTTCAACATGTAGCTGGGTGGGTAAGATACACCAGCCATATTCATCTCTACTGTTGGCTAAGTAGAGGAGGTCAGAGTGTGCTGCAGACTCTGCCAGCCCCAGGCTCTAGGAAGTCAAGAATAGGAAGTCCTGCTTAGGCTTTGAATTCTAAGCCTCATGCTCTTGAACTGCTTACTAGAAAAAACAGAAGAATACTTGCAAGTGGGCTCCAGAAATGCCCACTTTAAAATATGCTCTCTAGGTGATTCTCCTGAACATTAAACTGAGAAGTTCTTCACAATGATTTACTGAATCTTCTATTTCTTTCCTCAGGCCAGACATAAAATCCACAGTAACCTGTCAAATTTGGAACATGTGGACCTGACATTGGGGGAGTATTACCTGAGTTTCTGAATTGGAATTACTCTAACCCCTCCTTCTGCTATGCTTCACAGCCCACTGCCTATTTACCATCAACAGCACTTAACACATTTCTTTCAGCTCCATCATCTGTCTCCATAATGTGTATCCTCCAGAGCTCCTTAAATAAAGCTTGGCACATGGCAAGTGTTCCAAAACTACCCCTGAATAGATCCATCCCGTCCAAGAAAGGATGGCCATTGATGTAGGCAATGCTGAAACTTAGAAAGGTGTAATGGACACAAAAATTAACTCAGAATGGATTAAAGACATGAAAATAATAAGACCTGAAACCAATAAATTCCTGGAAGAAAGCACAGGGGGTAACCTCCTTGACACAGGTCTTGGTGATGATTTTTTTAATCTGACACCAGAAGCAAAAGCAACAAAACCAAAAATTGACAAGTGGGACTACAGCAAAATAAAAAGCTTCTGCACAGCAAAGGAAACCAACAAAATGAAAAGGCAGTTTATGAATGGGAGAAAAAAATTGCTAATCATATATCTGATACAAGGTTTATATACAAAGTATATAAAGAAGTCATACAATTCAATAGCAAAAAAACCCCCACACAAGTCAATTTAAAAAATGGGCCGAAGATCTGAATAGACATCTTTCCAAAGAGAACACACAGATGACCAACAGGCTCATGAAAAGATGCTCAACATCACTAATCATCAGTGAAATGCAACTCAAAACCACATGCATGGGAAAGATATAGCTCAGTGGTAGAACTGCATGCTTAGCATGAACAAGATCCTGGGTTCAATCCCCAGTACCTCCGTTAAAACAAACAACAAACAAACCTAATCTCACCAATAAACAAATAAAATAATAAGATTTAAGAAAACCCACAATGCATTATCAACTTACACCTGAATGACCATTATCAAAAAGACAAGAAATAACAAGTGTTGGTAAGGATGTAGGAAAAGGGAACACTTGTGCTCTGTTTATGGGCACATAAATTGGTAAACCCACCATGGAAAACAGTATGGAGGTTCCTCAAAAAATTAAAAAGAAAAAAAAATTTAAAGAGAACTATCACGTGACCCTGTGACCCAGGAATTTCACTTCTAGATACTTATCCAAAGAAAAGGAAACACTAACTAGAAGAGATACATGGATCTTTATGTTCACTGCATTGTTATTTACAATAGCTAAGATATGGAAGCAACCTAAATGTCCACTGATGGATGAACTGAAAATGTGATTTGATACATACACACATACAGGTATATTACTCAGCCATAAGAAAGAAGCAATCTGTGGCAACAGATTTGTGACAATGTGGATGGATCTCAAGAGCATTACACTAAGTGAAATAAGTCAGACAGAAAGACAAATATAGTATGATCTCATTACATGTGAAATCTAAACACACGCACACACACACACACACACACACACACACACACAAAACCAAGCTCATAGATACAGAGAACAGACTGGTGGTTGCCAGAGGCAGGGGTAGAGAGTGAGAATAGGTGAAGGGGGTCAAAAGATACAAACTTCCAGTTATAAAATAAGTCATGGTGATGTAATATACAGCATGGTGATTTATAGTTAACAATACTGTACTGCATATTTGAAAGTTGCTAAGAGTAAATCTTAAAAGTTCTCATCACAAGAAAAAAAGTCTGTAATTATATAAAGGATGGATATTAACTAGACTTATTGTGGTGATCATTACACAATGTATACAAATATACAACCATTATTTGTGTACCTAAAACTAATTTAAGGTTATATGTCAATTATATTTCAATAAAAAATGTTTTTTAATTAAAAAAGAAAGGAGCAATGGATTCATGTATTATGACATGCATTAGTTATGACATATACTAATTGAAAATATGTTGAGAATAGTTAAGATTGGTGGGAAAGGTTTCCTATTTTACCTACTAGGAGAAATCACCTGTTTTATTTGAAATGAACAGCTCTGTAGGTGCTGTTTCTAAATCTGCCTCACTTACCTTTACAGATGTCTTTGGTCCCTTTCGCAGGTGGATCTTCCTGTGTCTCCAGGCCCCAAAGCAAATCCCCTCTCTCCAGATGTAAGACCAGTGCAGGTTTGGGAACTGGGTATCCTGAAAGGGGGCAGAAAATGGCACCTTTCAGTCCTGTGTCTGCTGTGTCAAAAGAAGGAAAACCTCAAGAGTCTCAGTAAGAATAAAATCTACAGAAGAGGGCTCAGGACTAGGGAAAGCCAGGGAGATTTTGCACGAGTAGAAAGTGAACATTTGTGACCTCTTCCTAAAGCAACACTTAAGAGTAGGTAAATTAGTGATCCTGCAGGATACGTGCAAATGCAGGGAAGGGGGTCACAACCTTCCCTAGACAATGGAGAGAAAACAGGCTAAGAACTTACCTGGCAATGGACACGACTATTCCTTACTGTACAGAGCCCCTTTGAGGATGAATCCTACTCTTATCGGGGGACAGTAATTCCCTACATTGAAACGAAACTGACCCAAGACTACTCCCTACCCAACAACCTCTAAAGTAGGTCATTTGCTCTCAGCCCTGGAACCATCAGTGGATGATACAAGAAATAACTCCTCTCCTTCCACAACACACCCCCAGCCAATGAGGAGGGAAAAAGGAAAGAAATAGAAAGCAGAGATCAGAGTCCCAGGAAGAAAGTGCTCTTACCCAGGGACATCAAGTTTCCCTAAGTCTCCAGCATCACATTTCTGTACATGGCCCTCTGGGTACCAGAAAGGCCAGTCCATTCAGCCTAGGTGAAGTACACAGCCACGTCCTGGAAGGTCACCACCTCCTAAAACAAGAGCTTCTTGCTGCCCCAGAGCCAATTCCCTGGCTCAGGGCCATAGAGTGGGCACAGGGGACAGTATGAGAGAGGAATTTTATTAAAGATGAATAATGAGAACAGGTGGAAGACTGAGTGTTAGGTCATTAAATGACTCACTGCAACCAAAACCCTGGAACTTCTCTCACTACCAGGAGAGCTTCCATTAGGACACAAAATTTAGTGTTATAAAACACAACATGACATTGTGAAAACCCTGGGAAGCCTTCCATTAATTAACATTTCTAGAGTAAAATCTCTTTGTAAAACTGACTCAGTCTTTTATTGTTGCACCTAGTAGTAAACAATTAGCTTTCATCTGTCCACTTACTCAAGAGGTGGCATCTCAGGACCTATCTCTTCCCCCTTCACTGCCCCAAGTGCTCAGTCAATCCATCTGTTCTCCACATGTGCTCATTCTGCCCCAAACCTCAAGTCCACGTGACAAGAACAGAGTCAAGATTTGCCTTGATGACTAGTCCCAACCAACCCTCAACTGTTGCCTGAAGAAGAGGATGTATAGCCTGTGCTCCAGAACATCCAGCAGAGAGAGCTTGGGTTCACCAGGGGCAGTCTACTCTGCTTCCTGATGGGTTTTCCCAAGAGAAGATGCTTCTGAAATCAAATTGCTGCCAGGTAGTTCTTTTAACTGCTTTCCTTTATACCTCCAAGACCATCTGTAATTGCTTCTGTCAACTAAGGCTCATGTTTTTTCAACAGTCACCCTTTCCCTTCCCTGATGGCCCCAATTCCACCTTTCCAGAAAGCTCCAGCATCTGGTTTAGAACTTCTATTCATTCCTTAGACTTTGGTATCAAACTTGGTTACCTGAATGCACAGTGAATAACCTTCCACCTTCCAACACCTCAATTGACTCTGCAGATCTCCACCTCCTACAGTCCCCGCACTGCCTCAGACTCCCTGGGTGACCAGACACATCTGATCCACCATTTAACACCAAACTCATCACCCCTCTCCCCGACGTTGGCTCCTTTTTCAATTCATATAAACTAGCTGGCACAGTGAGGGTCAGTGTTGTTTCCCTATCTCAGGTAATAGTACCAACTTCAGCCCAGTCTCCTAAATGAGAAACTTAAGATTTATCCTAGACTAACTTGTCCTAGTCACTGCTCATTTCTGATAAGCAGTTGGTAATCAAATCCTGCCAATTTTATCATCTTTAAATATTTCTAGAATCTTTAAAAATTGCGAGTCACTATACTGTACACTTGTAACTCACACAGTATTGTACATCGATAGCTCAATTTTACAAAAGAGACTTGAAATGAAAAAATGAAAATAAATAAAAAATAAAATAAATATTTCTGGAATCTGACTCTTCTTCTCCATGGTACAATCAGTACAGTAGTTCACCAGGTGGAAACAAACTTAACCCCAATTCCAGGCCTGCCCTGCAATGAATCCATCCTCAGCCAGCCAGATAATCATTGTTTAAAATGACAACCTGACCCAGTCAACTGAATGACTTTCCTGAGGGTCACCACTAACTACAACAATGGTTCTCAAAGTGTGGTTCCCCAGAGCAGCAACAGCATCACCTAGGAACCTGCTGTAAAGGCAAATTCAGGCCCCATCTGAGAGTAACTTGTGCTTTCATAAGCCCTCAAGCTGATTTTTATGCATATTGAAGTCTGAGAATTTTGGACTGCAGGATAAAATCCAAACTCAGGAAACCAAGCTCTATTAGCTGACAGGCAGTGATGGGAAGGCAGAAAACCGTACAGAGAAACTAGGTGGGAAGCTCTGCAAACAAAATCCCAGAAAAGAAATGAAAACCTTAAATGAGGGGAATATAAAAGATGGGACAAGTGGAAGAGATAACAGGCAGAAGCATTCAGACTTGGTGACTCCCTGAAAGTAGTATCACGGGAAAACACAGCCAATAATTACTCAGCAATCTAGAAACTGAGTGGTCAGGACTGTGACATGGTGATACCAGTAACTCACTAATAACTTACAGAAGATAGGAAGATGATGAGAGCAACAAGGAAGACAATGTATTGGTGAGACAGTTGTGTAGAGGGACCTGCCAGATATCAGAAATCTAGGATTGAGATTTGGGATATGGCTCATGGATGCTAAGTTATTGGATAAATAAGTTCCAGGAAGAAGGAAATGGTTAAGCAACAACCAGTAAATTATTAGTCTCAAAACGTGAAATTAACTCAAGAAACAATTTCCCTATCCCACAAATATAAGGTATTTAATGTTCATCTCACAAACGAAGTTCAGGTACAAAAAGGATAAGTGACTTGCTCAAGGCCACAATGCTACTGAGGCTTGATGGGGTCCCAAACTTCAGATGTTCTGTCCTAGTACAGATATTTCCTATTATATCTTCCTGCTTTGATTAGCCAGCAGCACTGATCTAAAGATGTATTTTCACTGATTCTGAAGCTGACTTCTTTCTTTCAGAGGGTAAATGGTTTAAGACCCCCCGTCTTCTTGTCTTCTTGCCGACTCACTGCCCCAACTTCCCAAGAATCTTGTGGCCTCATTGATCTCAATTACTTCCACCATGTAATGGACACCTAGACCAGCAGCCTGAGTCCTTCATTCTCACAGGTCCCTCTGCAGCAGGAGCTATTGAACTTGGGATCCCTTTAGCTCAACAGAAACCCTCACAGTACCGGAGGCTATACTTTTGCTTCCCAGGGCACTCTCTTCAGCCATCACTTGCTGGGCTTCTGGCTGCTCAGCCCCTCACCATCAGCTTTTCCCCCAGCATTCAGTCCCACTAGAGAGAACCAACAGGAGTCTTCCTACTGCTTTGGCTTGAAGACTTTTGCCAGAATCACGTCTCATCTCCAATTTCCTTCAAAACAGATCTCTTGAAGACTGACCTGAGGGACCCACAGCTCACCTGGTGCCAGGCTTTCAAGGGCATGGCTACCATCACCTCTCAGTGAAGGGTAGGGGCTGAGGGAAGTAAAGAGAATCAAGAGTGAGTCTGGCCCAAAGGCTCTCCTTTAAAATAACAAACGTGCCAAAAATAGCCGCAGCAAACATTTACTAAACGCCACTGGGTGAGTGGTGTATGAATCATTTCCTCTTTTAATCCACATCATGCCATGAAGTTTGAGGAAACTGAGAATCTGAAGGGTAAGTAACTTGCCCTCAGGCACCAGAGCCTGTACTCACCAACATCATGCATTACTGCCTGTCCTAAGACACAAGTACAGAGGAACGTGAATATACAAAAAGCAAAACAAGCAAAAGACACTAGAAAACTTGAAGCAAAACCTAACAAAAGGAAACCCAGACGTCTATTTTTAAAAATAAAATTTTACTGAGAAACATAAAAGGTTAAAAAATAGAAATACTTTTTGGATGAAAAAATACACATCTTGTCATTCAGTCTCCACAATAATCGTCTCAACCTTCTTTTTCCCAAAAAGGAAAAATCTAAGAGAATAATTTTCCCTACCAAGGGCACTCAGCTGGTGAATGAATGAACTTGAAACTCAAACTAGATCTGCCAGATTCCAAAGACCATGCTTTTACTATCTACATTAAATTGCTTCCAATTATAATCACAACAGCATTTCTTTTAGACCTGATAAAGTGATTCTAAGGCTAATAGGGAAAAACAGATTAAGAGTAGCCAAGGAAATTCAGAAAAAGAATCTTAGAGTAAGGTTTTCTTTTCTTGGAACTTGGGGCAAGCATGTTTTTTGTTTATCACCCCATTCTAGGACCCAATGACAACAAGAAACAGATGAGCAAAGGACTCTGAAAAGGCCACTTCAACATTCTAAAATGTCTGGGTTATTCCTTTACTTCTATCATCCCCCATAGACAATTTGTATTGCAGGCATATTTTACTAAAAAGTCCGTTTCTTCCCTAATGAAACACACTGCACGCTGCAATTTCCTGGTAGGCTCATCTTGTGCCAACCTCCTCCTTTCTCTTAGTTTAGCCACGCTGATCTTCTTTCAGTTTCTCTACTAAGCTAATTCAGCACCTTGCACCTGCTGTTTCCTCTTTGGGAACCACTTTTCTCCAACCTTAGAACCTTTGTAACTGACCTCTCTTCACCGAGATAGTGCCAGCTCATCCTTCAGATTACCACTTCTCTCCACAGAACAAGTCAGATACCCTAGTTACACACTCCACTAGCACTATACTCCCTTTCTTGTATACCAACTCTCCCAGCTTGAGATCAAACACTGATTCGTGTTTTGTTCATCCAAACAAACATTTATCACATACTTATTCCATTCCAGGACAAGTGTGAGACAGAGGAGATGCAGTGGAAAGAGAAGTGTGATCCCTTCCATCATGGAGCTTAGACTAAACTAAAGGAAAGACATATATAACTCAAAGATTATCCTAATTAGCTTTAAGATCACATTTGTGATTACTGCCAGGGAGAATTTATTCTAGATGAGGAAGCTCAAGAATAAAAATTAACTTGGCGAAAAGGATAATCTTTACAGAGTAATAGCATTTGTAAAAACATCTTCCAGAAGTGAAAGCCAAAGAAGACTTAGCAGAGCTAAGAGGAATGTGTTGAAGACAAGGATGAAGAACTCGCAAGAGACCAAGTCATGCAGGGCCTTGTGCACGTCAAAGACTTGATCTTCGACCTAAAAGCAGCAGATCGCAGCTACTAGGTTAGAAGCAGGTGGAGTGAAATTCGGATTAATAGGTGACTTTTCATTAAACGGAAAGTTCCCCCAAGAGAGGGGCCCACGGCAGTCTCATTCGCAGCTGCATCCAGGGAACCTATAATAGCAAACGGCATTTAGATGCTCCGTAAGTATTCGTTGGCCTAGGGGAGGGCGTCTTCCATCCACAGCCCCCATTTACCAAGGCGGCAGCCGAGGACCCAGCGAAGGCTCTGGCCGGGAGGCCGCCCCCGCTCCCCGGATCCGGCGGCGCCGCCGGACTACGCCCACAGCGGCATCAGGGACGAAAGCGACAGCCTTCTACAAGGGTGAAGGGCGTGCCCCCAGTAGGGTCGCTAAGGCGACAAACCACCAAAACTCACCTAAGAAAAGGCGCAAAGTGCGCTGTGACCGGAAGAAGTGCGTCACTACGTCGGCGTGCTTCCTCTCTAGGAAGCCAGAGCGCGCCTCTCGGTGGTCTGTGGCTTTACCCTCCCCTGAATCCCCGCCTCAGTGCATTTTTAACCTAGGACCTCGAATAGGAAAGGTTTATCGTCCTTTAAGCTGATCGCTAACTGAAATTTAGCACTTCTTTCAGTTATGGGTTGGCAAAAACCACAAGCATATCAGTAGTGCCTGTGTCTTTGTCACCAATAAAAATCTCGTATTTTCAAGTAACGTTACAATCAATGAAGTTACAGCGGAACATGCACAAAGTCATTTTTGCCTTGGCTGCCAAAAAAAGCACAGTTAAACTAAGTTTTCTTGCAGTAGCTATATTGGCATATGATTTGATGTGATTATCTCCTTGCATCTGAAAACATACTTAATGGTGAAAGAACAAAATGCCTTCTTTCCAAGATTGGCAACACGGCAGGTAAGTCCGCTTTTACCGCTAGTGTCCAACATCGTCCTGGGAGTTCTAGCAAGCGCAAGAAGGCCAGAAAAAGAAATAAAAGGTATACAGATTGAAATAAATAAAACTGTTATTATTTACAGAGGGCATGACTGTCTACATAAAAAAAATCCCAAAGAATCTACAGAATCTCCTAGAACAAACAAGAGATATTAACAAGATCATAGAGTTAAAGTCAAAGGTGCAAAAATAAAAAACAAAAGAAAGAAAGAAAAAAGAAAAAAAATCAATTGTTGGAAACAAATTTCCAGCAATAACATTTACTATAATTTTAATAAAAAATTTTAAAACAGTACCATTTATAACAGCACCAAAAATATGAAATACATAGGTATAAACTAAACAAAATATGTCCAAGATATGCATCTTGAAAACTATAAATCGACAAAAATGTGAAAGAATACGTAATAAATTGAGAGCAATACTGTGTTCATTGACTAAAAACCTCAATATTATTAACATGTCAGTTATCCCCAAATTGCTTTATATATTCAAAGCAATCCAATCAAAATTCCAGCAAGACCTTTTATAGAAAGCAACAAGCTGATTCAATTGCATGTCAATCAAGCAATAGAACTGAGAAAAACTGGAGAAAGGAGGAATTTCTCAACAAATTATACTGGGATATCTGGATATCCCAATAGGAAAATAAAATAAGGTTCTTGAATCACACCATCAATAAAACAATTCCAGGTGGATAAAAAAAATCTAATTGCAGCAAATATAAATCTTTGATGAAAAAGTAATGGCAGTATGATTTCTAAAAATGTGCTTTATCTTGTCTACCCCCACATCTGATGCCTGAACCCTGAAATGGATACCTCACCATGGGGCTGCTTAAGCTACACTCCAGCACTCAGAGCTGATAGACACCTCACGGAATGACCTGGTTTAACTGAGCGTTAATAGCTTTCCCACATTCACAACACTTGAGTGATTGCCTCTGTGTGAACCATCAGAATCATAGGTACAGATTTTCCAATATATCACTCACATGAAAGGTGTCTTCAATGATGCCAAATCAAGTTTCTGTTAACTCTGAAGGCTTTCGAACATATGTGACATTGAAATGGCTCAATATCAGTAAGGATTCTGTTACAAATGAAAGAAATCCCAACTCAAAGCTACTTAAGCAAAAAAAGTATTGATTTATGTCACTGAAAAATCTGTACATAAGTTTAGTTCTCTCCAACTCTGTCATCTGCAAGGCTGGCTTTCTTCTCAGTCTTCACGTGGATCAAGGCTAATATCCATGTACAGCTGAAAGCAAAGTCACTTTCTGGTAGTTAGGTACATAGGATACATATCCCTAATAACTTGTGACTTTATAGTACTTAAATGCCTGAAAATCCTCATGGAATAAAGAGGCAATCCCTGATGGCTTACAAGAATTTAGTGTATGCCCTATTACTGTTAGAAATTGTGGAGTCTATGCGCTGTTGTCAGATTCAGAAGTGTCTGCTGGATACTTGGAAAAAGAAGAGCATAGTTTGCTTCGATACTCAGGAGACTGCACAGTGTCCCTTTTCACTTTGAGAAAAATGAAAACCTAAGCTGAGAAACAGAAATAGTATCAGACCATCCAGTGGCATCTGTATTTCCAAAGACTAGATGGCATTATAAATGTTTGTTTAAAGTTAATCAACTTTAATTTTTGAGTTAAATTTTTAAAAATAAATTTTATACTCAAGTGTTGATCTTTATCAGTTTGTACCCTTTTGTTAAACATTTGTATTCTAAAATATTAGTTTTCCATGCCTTTTGCAAAATAAAACTATGTGCTGAACACCTGCTTTATATTTCCTTTTCTTTACAAATTAGCTGACCTTGATCTTAAACCACCAGAACATAAGCTCCATGCATCTACAACCTAATTACCTCCCCCTCATAAAAAAAAGAAATACAATGTGAGCCATAAATGCAAGCTACATATGTAATTTAAATTTTCTGATAGCTACATTAAAAAAGTAAAAAGAAAATGGTGAAATTAATTTTAATGATACATTTAATTTAACCCAGTGTATTCAAAATATTACTTCAACATGAAATCAACATAAAAATTATTAATGAGATCGTTTACATGATTTTTAATACTAAGTCTTTAAACTCTGGTATTTTATACTTACAGCACATCTGAATTTGTATCAGCCCCACTTCAAATGCTGAAGAGTTTAATAAGCATATGTAGTTAGTGACCACCGTGTTAACAGCACAGAAGCACAGAAAAGTTTGCTAGGCTTTCAGTACTAAGCCCAATGCACTTGAATGTGTACTAAAAAAGACAGAAGAATGAATGCTTGCTGGTGAGACCCAGAAATATCCATTCTTATATGGATTCTCCTATACCTCAGCCCATGGAGCGCTTTACAATTATATATGTGATACATGTGATAGGTATGATATCTCATTGTGTTTTTAAATTGCATTCCCTTGATGGCTGATGATGTTGAACATCTTTTCAGGTACTTATTTACCATCTGTATATCCTCTTTGGTGAAGTGTCTTTTTGTGCCTTTTGTGCATTTTCTAACTGGATTGTTTTTACTGCTGAGTCATGAGAGTTGTTCATATATTCCAGATACTGTCAGATATTATATTATGCTGGAAATTATACTGAATCTCCTATTTCCTTCCTCCAGCCAGACTAGCTTCCTTTTTTCCTCATCTGCCACCCACTGTTACCTGTTGAACTCAGAACAAATGCCCCTGCCACTGAAGGAATGTTATTTGATCTTCTAAATAGGAATTACTCTAACTCTTCCTTCCCTGTGCTCCCACAGTCCACTGTCTTTATACCAACAACAGCACTTAACACATTCTCTCTTTTTTAGCTTCTTACACCTGTCTCCATAACTAGTATCCTCCAGAGCTTCTTAAATGAGTGTCATTTGGCACACAGCAAGTGCTCAAACACTTGCAAATCATATAGCTGACAAAGAATTAAGGTTGTTGGTCTTAAGCCTGCCTCACTTACCTTTACAGATATCTTTGGTCCCCTCTGCAGGTAGATCGTCCTGTGACTCCAGGCCCCAAGGAAAATCCCTTCCTTCCAGAAGTGACATCAGGACAAGTTTGCAAACTGGGTATCCTGAAAAGGAGGGAGAAAAGAGGGTTGGAGGGGAGTCTCACATTAGTGTTCCTAAGGCAACTTGTAGCCTTCTGTCTGCTGTCAAGAGTAGGAAACCCCAAAGCAGCTCACTGAGGATGAGACAGCAGAAGTGGGGTGGAGGGTGGGGAAGCCCAAGGAGATTCTGATCAAGAGGAAACTGAGCACTTGTGACTTTCTCCTAAAAGGTCACTTTGAGTTTATCAGCAAGATCCTGTATGTATGACACACGCAAGCACAGGAAGGAATGAGGAAGTCTTCCTCAGACCACTGAATGAGTTGAAGGAAGTGAGTTGAAAGAAACTTCAACAGTAGACACGTCTTTCCCACTGTGACCTGCACGGAGCTCCCGATGATGGTAACTGTTCTCATCGTAATAGCCAGTCCTTCATTAGACCCAAACTAAGCTCAGGCTTCTCCCTCCCTCCCTGACATCCTCTGGGGCTGAGGGATTAGGAGTCTTTGTCCCTGGAAATACATAGACAGCGGTTATTAGATTCAAGACACCATCCACCCCTACTCTTGTCCTATGATTCTGGGCCCCGAAGGTAAAGTGGCCTTACCCAGGGACACCAAGTTCCCATAATTTGTCAGGGGCCCTCTGTGGTGAAAGGCCAGCCCATTCTGCCAGGGTGAAGTACACAGCCACATCCTTGAAGGTAACCACCTCCTAAAACAAGACTCCTGCTGCCCCAGAGCCACAGGGTGGGGCATGGGGGAGAGTATGAGGGCCTGAGGGAGGGAACTGTGCCAGGTGGCTTACACTGAGCTCTGCTTTGTTTCCACATCTGCAAGCTCACTGGGGACCCACCTTCCACAGTGGCCCACATCCTCACCCTAATTCCCAAAACTGCTGTGGTTAGGGACTGAAGAAGTCTGGGGACAGGTGAGACTGCCTGCAAATAGCCTCACTCGCAGGAGACCCACGCCTGACCCCCTCCTGGGTCCGCCTCCTCAAGGCCAGGGTAATTCTGTGGCACCACCCACCCTGCACGTGGAATAGAAGCCTCTCCGCCCAGCACTCACGTTCCGCGTTGCTGCTCTGGAAGTACATCACCCACCGGCAGTCCTCTTGGGGCCTGTGCTTCTGCTCCTCCAGGACGTTTGTGCTTCTCTGGGCTTCCCTCCCTTTCCCACGCCTCCTTCTTCTCCCTGTGAGGAGGAGGCTGCCTTCTCTGTGGGGGCCTGCCAAGGCGCTACCGTCCAGCATTTCTATGGGGCTTAGGAAGTCAAAGGCCAGCCTCCAGGAGTGCTAGCATTTGCAAATTCTTTTATTTGACCATTGTCAAACTGGCTATGCTCTTTGGATGGGGTCAGATTTCACCGTAGATCAATCAAGTTGCAACTGCAGTGTG